GTTCGTTTTGTTCTTTCCGTCTTTCCTTTCTTCATTTCTTCATTCATTCCTTCGTTCATTCATTCATTGTTTTGTAATATCTCTGTATTCATTATCTATACATTAATGTCAAAAAGCATAAAAATTCAAAATGATATTGATACTGAAGTTTTGTTTGTGAATATAAAAACATAGAGGTGACAAATTCCTTATTAATTTTCCTGCGAAAAATATATTCGTGTGCACAGATCGAGTAAAGTCCCAGCTGAGGGAAAATTTTTTGACGACAAAAGCAACGAACAACAATGATATCTTTTAACAATATAACATAATATATTAGGCCCTATATATAAAATCTTGCGTTCTTCGCCATTCACATACACTTTAAACATAGGGCTTAATTATCAAGATATCATTTTGAATCAGATTAAAATAGCGTGTGTACCTACATATTTGAGAATCGATTTTACGCCTATTAAATATTGGAAGCATCAACGTCTTTGTTAAACTATAATGAAATAGCTACCTTAAAGAAAACATCAACGGCGATAGTTAAAATGAAATGAAAAATACTTACGCGTGCACAAACGTATATTGATCACTATCTCTGGTTTAACCGATTATCTGTATACTTACATCATTATCCTTTGTTTCTCATATATCTATACTTGTCATATATTATTCAATCGCTTAATAATTGGTTCTGTTGAGAACATTCCATGCAACAGCGTGATAAACAATTGCGATTAATACTTGCTTTTACAACCTACTGTGTTATTAGAAATCAATGTACTGTATACGCTTTGTTTTCCATGCGCATGTGCGATAAGTATCAACAGGCCGTAATTATGCCTATGTATTTGTTATCTTTGTCCGCCCGAAGTCTGGAAATTTTAGTTAGTGCGCTTGGCTAAAAAAAAAAAAAAAAAAAATACTAATAATAATCACCCATACAGAAAATTATCGTAATATGATGAAACTTCTGTTCGTTTTAAAAGAAAGTTAATTAGCCTGTAGTTAACAATTTTACGCTTTGGTTAGATTAATCAATCAACGAACACTTCTTAGAACAATGACACTTGTTCCGTTGCTAACTATGAGCACATGTGTCCATCTGCTGTGGCTTTTATTAATGCTTATAACCATATATTCTAATATTCATAATAATAATGCATGTTTATTTTTTCTTTTTCTTTTTTTTTTTTCGTAATTATGCAACAATTACAAAATATATAGTACTATGTATATATGTATATATATGCTGTATATATTTGATCCAGCGTATGGAAAATCATGGTCGTTGTAGTCCGGTTGGTCAGAATCCAAAAAAAAACTGTCGTATCTGGAAGTATCTGCTCACAGCAAGGGTCCCAACATTAACTTTGTTTTTGTCGTCGCAGGACAACCGCAAACATTCGTTACTGTAAAATTCACAAGCTTCGTTCAGCATCTTGCACTGCGATCGACAAAAATGTAGATCTACATGATTATTCTTCGTTGCGCAGTTTGACTTCGCAGGTACTCGTGCTTTCACTATGCCTTTAAAATACCTAGCATTGTTGGTTCCACTTCTTGGTGGCATCATTAATCTATGAACGGTGGACTTGCTAATGCCAGCAGCTTTGAGCTCGGGGTCGTTTTCTTTCACATGATCTGTGATCTGTTGCAACGTTACACCAGTACAGGTTGCCGTAGTACTTCGTCGCCTCTCCTGGGCTCCGAAACCATGTACCTCCAAATATGTGTTGGTCGCTTTAACCAACGAAGGAAACTGCTCGTGTTTTGCTGGTCTTCCAACTCTGTTTCTTTTCTCCTTCGACTTGGTCTGGCGTTTTGGTCCTGCAATAGCCTTTAGAAGACAACTAGTAACATTGTCGTTATGTGCCTTGATTTTGTCGTACTCCTGTCTCTTATACACATCTAGATGTGTATAAGAGACAGTATATATATATTATATAGGATTTAACTTAAAATATACGGTATCCAATATATACGTAAATATATATGTCGTTTTCAGTTGCTCATAAATGAGTTATCCATATAAAATACTGTATACATTACTAGCAGAATTATACGTTGTCAACAATCGATTTTTCAGTTTTTATATCTTTCAAGATTACTAGTAAAGGACTAAAAGTCAATGCTGATGTTAATATAATTTCATAATTTTGCACGTCACAATTTCGTCATCATACTGTTTTTGTTAGGATTTACATGCACTTTTTCATATCTAAGACCAACTACTTTACTTTTGCTTGCATAGAGAGAAAGGGTATCAGCCATTAGTCTTCGTGGGGTTATTCACAGTAGAATACTTAACAATGGTATTCTGCAGAGCGAGGGTTTTCATTATTTTGGAGCCCATTTTCATGATTCTATGCCTATTAAAACGGTAAACATTCTTAGTTTGCCAAAGCATGGTTGACTGTGAAATGCAGCGTGCAAATTCATGCGCGTGCTCGTTATAATGCTTAACATAATATGAATATAGTATTTAAGGGTATATGAAATATAATATAAAAAAAATACTTAACAGAAATTTACAGTTACATAAACAAAGATAATTACATATAATTTGTATTACTAACATTATATTTATAATTAGGCCTACTTGATTAATTCAATGTATTGGAAGTTATATAAACGTTTTAATAACTATTAGATTATATAATTTTAATTATTATTTCATACTTTAATAACATCTTTCTAAATGCTATAAATAATACAGATATAGACTTTACAGCAACATGTAAAATATAATTGTTGTTGTTTAATTCTAACTAAAGTGTACATTTTTACATACAATAATAATGACTCGCTTCAATAACATTATCATAACCTTAAATTGTGACAAAATATTACAAAGTGGGCACCAGTCCAAAAAAGTAAACATAGCACCATTGAGAGGTCACAATAATATTATAATAGGCCCACACGTCATGGTAGAAGAAATAACTGTATACTTTATATTGCATTCATTTGGTAAATATACATGCAGTAATTTTAAATGTAGATTTTCAAACTGACTGTTAATGAGAACAAATTATTTAGCAAACGCTATAATGAACTTCAAGTGACGTCCCTGAAACACGGAACCGATTAAAGTGGCATGGGGTTCAGTGCGGATTGGTCAAACTAAGATATATTTGATCATGGAGATAATTAACATAAAATATTATATATCAATGAAGTCACCTAATAAAAAAAAAAATAAAAAGCTAACCTGCAGCTTTATGTATTATATTAGTATGTGGTTCAATGGACCATTTTAAGTAACATGTTTTTAATTTTGGCCTGTTCAAAAGTTGTTTTTTTAAGCATAAAAATCTCTGCTTAACACTGACACTCAAGTGTACTTCTATGCCAATATCGAAATCCTCATGTACAAACCCATTATAAATTATTAGACCAGCACATTAGGCACTAGGACTACGTAAGTGTTTGACATCCTTAATCAGAAGTAACACAAATATTTAAATAAATTTTTAAATAGTTTTTGAAAGCGAACATGAAACACCTTCAACACCGACGTAGAAGATGGATATTATTTCTTGAGGTCTTTTGACCGTCCAGGACAATTACATGTCTTTACACTCCAACTTCAGTGATCTCTCTGTTCAGAGTCTTGTCAATACTTCTGGGACGTTTTGATAGTCATGCATCGTGATGTCATCTGGTGTTAGATATGATGCCTCGCTGCGAACACTGTCATTTTTCATTATAGGCTTCGTGAGTATTGAGTCAGGTTTGAGGTATTTGTTGCTAGGGGTGTATTCTGGAGGTGCCTCATACACTGGTTCTTCTTCTTCTGCTTCTTTTCCAGATTTTAGCACCCATTCAGTCTTTTGAACTGTGTTAGATCGCCGGCGACGTTTTCGTGAGTCACTATATAAAAATCATAAAGTATATCAGCATTAACTTTATCATATATTAGGGTCTAAACTTAGTCTAAACTATCAACACCTAATAATATTAATAATAATGATAATAATAATAATAATTAAAATAATAATGGTAATAATAATAATATTAATAATAATAATATTAATAATAATAATAATAATAATAATAATAATAATAATAATAATAATAATAATAATGATGTATGACAACGAGACAATTGTATAATTTGCTACAAAAAAATAGAGTACAATTTCCCATAAATAGTCAATGTAAATGGGAAGCTATACTTGACAAACGACATATTGACTGGACAAAAGTTTGGAACAGAAGAATTTCTATGATCAAAGAAAATATAATTAAGCAATTGAATTTTAAACGCTTACACATGATTATACCTACAATATGCAAATGGGAAATTGTCAGCAACAATTTGTGTACTAAATGTAAAGTTGTAGATGATGAAATAAACCACTTCTATTACTGCGAGGACGCTAAAACTGTGTGGCGTTTCATAAAAAAAAAATAATAATTTAGATAGAGTACCCACGTTATCCAATATTATACTTGGTACAGAGTCAAGCTTTATAAATGATATGCTAAGCCTTGGTACTTTTTGTATTGCTAAAGCACGTACGTTAATATTTCATGGTAAATGGAGGCTTGCTTTCCTTACGACCTTGTTTGAAATTGAATATAATAAAAGATACTTGTAAAGAAACGATTGTCAGCCACGTTTGGACTGACCCTGTATTATGCAGGTGTTTGTATATGTGATGTACAGCAGCCGATATTGACAGACCCTGTATCTCTGTCCTTTTTATGGGTATTATCCCCGTAAAAGCAAAAATAAATAAATAAATAAATATATATATATATATAAATAAATAAACAAATTGTATGTGTGTATTTGATGATGATGCGTGTATATATTTCTATTTGCACGAGTGTTTTTGTGAATGTATATATAATATAAAACATATATGTAAGTATGTGCATGTGCACGTATGTATAAGTACAATATATGTATACATATTTGTGTATTTAGAGGTATATAAAAAGATCATTATAAAGGAACTTTTTGTTGAACTTTAATTTGAACTGATCTTGTACTACTACTT